ATGTGTGTATATATATATATATATATATATATATATATATATATATATATATATATATATATATATATATATATATATATATATAATTTTTTTATTCAAATGACTGTATATGGGGACATGTTCACATGGACACTCCCAGTGATATTGCTGTTGTTAAACATTACAATCTATATTTGGTCATGTATAAATCAAATATTAATAGACTTTGCAATTCATTTTAAATATCAGCAAATAATTAAGAATAAAATATAGTGCAACAATTGATTTAAGGCAGAAGAGCACTCTGCGATTATTAAGTAAGAGTAATATATTAAGGTTTACATGTATTAATGGCAGAAGAGCACTCTTTGATTATTGATTAAGAGTAATATTTGTAACAATAATTTTCAATAGCCCTTGTTGAGTGCTATCATTTAAGTTAAATCTCCAATTTACCACAGAACCACTACAGACAATTTCAAGCAGATATAGTATAACAATTTTCAGATTAGAGTAATAAGTAGGTACATATACATATAGATATCCTATATGGCAGTTTCTTTACTTCGCTTGATTTTGAAGTACATTTTGTGTCATATTTTATTATTATTTTGCATCATTCATTCTTTAATGTTGATATTAACCCCAGTTTATTTAAGTATGCCGGTGTTCAAAATAATTCCGTTGTTTGTAATTGTTCATTGCATCATATGCATATTTACTCCAGTTTATATATGTTTGTGTTCAATGTTGTTCATTGTCTGAATTATTCATTGTTTTCTCTGCCATATCTATTTCAGTTTATTTGTATGTTTTTTCAACATAATTTAGTTTTTCATTGTTTATTGCTTTAGGTACATATTTTTTTGTGTATCTTTGTACGTGTATGTTTAGTAGTCACTGTGGCTCAAGCGGTAGCGTCAGCGACTCTGAGACATCATGTCGAGGGTTCGCACCCCGTCACGGACTGAGGTTAGCAAGGGCATACACTCAGGGTAATGATTACATCTGCCAAAACAAGTCCTTCGTAAGAAGGCAACCGTCCTAGCCCTTGGTTGAAAAGGGAGTCCGTGACGTAAAACCGGAACATTTGTACGTGTATGTTCATGAGGATTTATTCTCTTTCTTTCTCCTCAATTTCCTGTCCATCTCCTGGAGTGAAGGACAAGAATATCACCCATGTCTTTCATGGCGTATTGTAAATATCGAAAAAATGTGGTGGAAAGAGGGAATTTAAAGAGGGGGGGGTGTTCACACGTTCGAACATCACTTCAAACACTTGTCTGTCGAACCGCGTTCGACGAACCGTTTGACCGTGTAAACCTCCCTTTAAATTCCACCCTCGTATTTTCCTTCAGCGGGGAATCGAGATTCTGCATTGACTTGGCCACCTCCCATGGGAAGGGAGCTATGGCATTTGCATATAGATAGCGATAGCTTCATGCAGATATCTGGTTCAGTATGTGTGTGGAGGGGGATACCGCGATAGCGCAGTTGTAAGAGAACTCAACTCGAAAAGTGACAACCCGAGATTGAGCCAACCGCGGGGTATTAGGAATAACATGCAGCCTTATTTCACTAGCTCCAGTATGCCTGTGTCTACCCCTATTCGAATGAGGACATTATTGTAACACAAAATGGTACATGCATCTTAATATGTGTGGGTGTATGTGTACATGAGTCTTAACATAAAGTTATTGTGTCATGGCTTTAAATATTCAGTTTCTGTTGCGTATGAATGTGGGTGTATGTGAGGACCATTGTCCTAATGTTTGCACGTGTCTTTGGGCCCTCATACTCAACTTTTGCGTAAATGTGTATATACGCATGTATGCTTGTGTGCTACTTGCATATCGTGTATGCATATCTTTTCTTCACTTATGTACGTAACATAACCTCATGTCTGTGATATGCGCCTAATACTTTTTACTCATTTATTTATATGTTTTTAATTGTACAAATGCCTTTGATTCAACTTAAGTATTATATTCAAAATTCTATATTATATATTTGTATATTTTAAGCGTCTTTACTAATATCTACTGTAAATTTTGTGTTATTATTGTTAGTATTATTATTATAAGTTGCAGTAGTAGTAGTATTATCATTTTCTTTGGTTCCTGCAGAAAATAAAAAGTCTCCTCGCTGTTCCCCATTAAGTCAGCCTTTAGAACACTACGGGGAACACGCATGAACTGTTCTTGCCCATTAGCCCCGATATTAATAATCAGTTTTAAAACGAAAATAATGATGTCATATTTTTTTCTCTGTTTCATTTAAGGTTATGCATAAATAACAATTGTAAATTATAATTATTTGTTTGTATGAATAATTATTTAGATAACGATAATTTATTAATATTTATTAATTAATATTTATTTATTAATATTTATTTATTTATTTTGAGTATTGGGAGAATGATTTTAACACACCTGATGACCTTCATAACCACAACCTTACCTTGAACCACTGCTTAGGACCGGAAATGTGGTGGCTGGTCCTACCCCCTCCTGCTACAGGG